AAATATAGCTTTTTCCGTCTTAAAAAATCGAGAAATGATTGTTTTATCATTATAGTTGTTTAGGGTTTAGTGTTTCAGCAAACTTAGTGTGGTGGAAATACATGTTATACGGTAAATAATTCCTTCATCTGTTTAATACACTTGTTTTACGTTTCATAACTCTCTGACCATGACAAATAAAAACGATTTAGAGGAAACGTTTACCTATTCTGTGAAAAGTGCTGACGAAATGCAATACCTTTGGTAAAAAAAATGATCGGGGAAAAATATACAATGAGTAAAAACATCACAAGTAATAACAAATGGATGAAACAGTTGGCTTAAAATACCTTGCGGACAATTCCAGTAGAATCAGTAATAAAACAATAATAGTCCTATGACTACACGATAGCAAGCATTATAGAGAGAGCCGAGAATTACGTTAACAAACTTGCTTACTTGCGTTTCAGATAGAAATGAGCCTTGAACCTCTGCTACAATGGCTACCAGATCATTTGAGGGCACTGAAGTATGCATGGAATATCAGGAAACGCAACGTGGACTCAACAGGAGTTTTCAAACATTGAGAAACAAATGTTCATAAATCTTTAAACATTACGACCAGTCACCTTGTAGTCTTGTAGTAAATAAAAAGGAGACAGAAAAAAATGCATAAAGCAGTAATGCGTATATACAAATAAATTTGTGTTACGTTTCGTGCGAAACTTTGTATATGAACTAAAAGATGTGTAAACGTTAACGGTGGCGAAATGTTGTTCTTTCTTAATCCAATTGTAAGGTGATTATATTTTTTCAGCTAAATGATGTGATTTTTTAAATACCTTAGGTTAATTTATTCTATTTTAGGAGTTTACTTTAATCAAAGTTGTATAACTTCTATACACAATAAAGTGTACACACCAAGTCAATTGTGAGAGACGTAAAAAAAACACTAATATAGAAAACACAATATGTTGATGAATATATAAAGCACTTTATATCAGTTTCGAAAACATGTTTCATCAGCTGTCGTTCTATAGATGTATACGTATAGCAATGACAACTGACTGATAGGAAACAATAAACGGTAAGTAATAAACAAATTATCCAACCAAGGCATTTATACGTTTACAAATGCTCGAAAACAATATTCATAAATCTCTTCGGAACACATTAACAGTCACAACTAAGTACAATATAAAGAGTACATGATTTTAACTAAACAAAATGCTTAATTATTCTATTTGTCAATATTTTTGAGCTTACAATGCATTAAAGGTAAAACTATATATCACAAATGGTCGCGGGCAAAAACTGCATCATTTATGAATTAGTTTTCAGTTTTAGAATCTTTTGTCCAGTTTGGAAGTATAAATTTGAAAATCAGAAATTAAACAGATAAATTTACTTTTTGTGATTCTAAAATATAAAGACTTGCAAGTTGGAATTATGGACGATACTAAAAAAATTAATGACTCAAACTTGCAGTAAATTATTGTTACTTGTTACACTTTGTTTATCTATAAATAACTAGGCATGTGTGTGGAAAATACACATCAAAGTTAAAGATATTCCATAAAAAGATAATTTAACATAAACCTGAGTAGCTTCAAACTGATTCCTTAGATACTTTGAACTCATTATCAACTAATATTCTAGACTTCATTTTCTTGATGGTGTATAATATTTATTTAAAAGAAATCTGTCAGAAACATTAAAAAAAAACTACTGTTGATTCAAAAATGACTCTTTTTAACTTTAAGGCAAGAATAATTAAAGCTAGTTTTGTTTAAAACACGCAAGAGAAAAATATATATGGGTCACCATCTCAAGACATAATAATGACAACAATGAAAATCGTTTTGTATAAAACATCTAATTACTCAAGCAAAGAAAATAACCTTCACTAAATACTGACTATTATTAACTCACATAACGGGTCAGGCATGCTAGGCTGCCGATTTGAGGGTCCTACATTCTAACAGCAGTATGCTGATAGTTACATTTTAAAATTTCAGATGTGGAGACGTTATTACTGTGA